TATAATATATATTTATATATATATAATATGTATATATCAATATATATTTTTAGTTATCAATTGATTTAGGTGAATTGGTACCTAGGTAAGTTTCGCTACACAATTATATCGATCGATTAGTGTGCGTGTGCGTGTGCGTGTGTGTGTGTATGTGTATAGCGAGTGTGTGAGCGTCTGTCGACGACGCGTGCTCCATGCTCGCGAAGTATGTGGATTGAGAAAAATTTTCGCCTAATATATGAGCCGGTTTCACGCGCACACGCGCGTGATTTCCACACGTGTACGGCCGTGCGCGCGAGCACGCCGGCGATTTTCTCATATACATATACATATATAAATTTACCCGCGATAACAACACGGATATGCCCGATCGCGGCCCGCGTTTTAATTTATTTATTGCCCGTGTGTGCTGCACGGATTATGCCACTCTCTCTCTCTCTCTCTCTCTCTCTCACTCACTCTCGCTCTTTCTTTCTCATCTTTCTTGCTCTTTCGTTCGACTTAGAAGAACGGTGACTCGTATGTAAAATTGCACTAACTAATGCTCACGTTCTCATTGTGCCCCCCTCCCTTCTTCGCGTCTCTTTTTCAAGTTTTTCTCATTCTCACGGTGTCTATTCTCCATTCCACGTCAATCCTCCCTTCTCTCTCCAGCCGATTCTTTCCTCTCGATCGAAACAGTTCTGGGCTTCCGTCAAGTGCATAAGAAAAAGTCGATCGTGTCTGTTTAGAATTACTGCGAGATAGCAACGGATTGAAAAATGTTTTTTATGTACTCACTCTACTAATTTATGCGCTACAATTACATGCTAGTGTTCGCCCCATCTTCTTCCCTTATCCGAAAACCTTTGGCGGGCGACTCTTTTCCACGTCCCCTGGTTTTTACTCGTTTCCGAATTTACCGAAAATTTCGCGCCCACGTTTCGATCAGATACGAATCTAATCCATCTTAACTGAGAACGCGAGTCAAAGAGGGCCGGCAACGAGAACTCGTTTCTTCCTCACCCCGCTCTATCGTATTGGATTTATTAATTTTTCTCCCCCTTCACCACACCACACACGTGTCCTCGTGTTTCCGCGGGCCGAACGGTGTGTCTCAGACGAAGGGACGGAGGGTCGTCGTTGAACGCGCCTCTCTTACTGCGACTTCCGTCACACAGCATCCGCCTAATAATAACGCATTCCCTCCTGTACGGTGCTCTAATAAACGCCACCGGTTATCTCTACACGCGGCGAGACAAGATATATCATATATATATATATACAAAAAGGAGTACCAAAAAAATAAATATATATATATATATATAGACGTGTGTGTAAGGATTATTTCTTTTTGTTTCCCTTCCCTCATTAAATCCGTACACAAATACGGATGTATCATCTCGTGTAATCGCCTGTGTGCTGTGTGCTCTCGTGTGCCTGTGTGTTTGTGTGTGTCGCGAATTGTACAAAGTCCGATACGTGTGCGATAGAAGAAGAGTATCGCGAGAGAGACTCGTCTCATGCGAGGTTTTAAACTACGTCTTCCGACTGCTGCTGCTACGTTCAGAATGTGGCTTTTTTTTTTGTTTTGTCATCTACGAAGCGGAACACACAACGTTGCATACTAATCTCGAGTACGACGCTTCCCAGCCCCACAACCTTTCGGCCGTCTCGCGAAGGAACAATCCGGCTATTGTCGGAAGTATTGTGAAAAGACACGCCTTTTTTTTTTGCACAACAAAAGAGTCACTGGGAGGTGACGAATGTCCGGTATTAGCGCTCAAGCCTGCCTCCTCTACTACAGAGTTATCAAAAGTATCCTATGTTACGTATTGTAAGATATTGTCAAATGAGAGACGAGTGGCGGTGCGAGAAAATTGCTTTCGATAAAACGCGTCCGAAAAATCGTCGATTAAACTTTGCCGGGTTCACCGTCGCGTCCGTTGAAAGGACGAGCGCTAGGAAGCGTCATGCTTAAAATTTAGAGAGGTCCTACCTATCTGCCAACCACAAGACTTTCTCTATACTAAACCCTCCGGGAGTAGAAACCCTACCCTACTCACCGTCTCGGCGAAAAGTGAATTCTTTCCTTCCCCCTTTCCCTCGCCATTTTTTTCTTTTATCCTTTTACTTCAACTACGGCGATTGCGTTTGATTATATACACCCAGCGAAAAAGTCCGTTTTCATTTTGAAGGGATTAAGAAAACGTGCACACTCGCGATCGCGATTAATAAACGTCGGTATAATTGATTAATCGATTAGGGGAGAGGGATCATCATATGTATGTACAGGAGCGGACAACATGCGGCATTCTCTATATGTATATATATATATATATATATA